GAAGAATCAGAAAGGAGACAGAGAGAAGAACCATCAGGCCATTAGGTAGAACACCAACAGAGCATAAACTAAAGAAAGATTTAAGTCAAAACTTACAGTTTCTTGGGGCGGCTGGGGGGCTCAGTCAGTTAGGAGTCCCATTTCGGCTCAGGTCATGATCTCTCGGGCGCGTGAGTTTGAGCCCCCACTGGGCTCATTTCTGTCAGCCTGTCAGCACGAAGATCCTCTGTCCCCCTCTCTCTCTGCCCCTCCCCTGCTTGCATTCTCCCCAAAATAAATAAATATATTTAAAAAAAATTTTTTTACTACTTGTGGTCACTTCATTACCTGTCAGGTCTCTTGTCCGTATTTTCCAATGACCCCTTATTTTCTCTAAAATAATAATAATTCTTCCTAATCATCCATTATTTTTCTAAAATAATAATGATTCTTTGCCAAAAGTGTTCATTTTCTAGAATTCCCTCCCCTATTCTCTCAACAATTTTCCATCTCGGTTCAACAGAAAATCCTCCAAGAAGGCTTTGCGGATTCCCCTCCCCAACCACACCTTCTCTTGTTTGGGCCCCCTTAGCAGCCAGTACATACATCGTTTGGGGATTTATTTTTCTTTTCTTTTTTTTTTTTTCAACGTTTATTTTATTTTTGGGACAGAGAGAGACAGAGCATGAACGGGGGAGGGGCAGAGAGAGAGGGAGACACAGAATCGGAAACAGGCTCCAGGCTCTGAGCCATCAGCCCAGAGCCTGACGCGGGGCTCGAACTCATGGACCGCGAGATGGTGACCTGGCTGAAGTCGGACGCTTAACCGACTGCGCCACCCAGGCGCCCCTTATTTTTCTTTTCAATACTCATCCCAGGACATTCTTTTTTTTTCTTTTTTCTTTTCTTTTCTTTTTTTTTTTTTTTTTTTGGTCTGTTTTGATCTACTCTACAAAACTATTACCTCCTCAAAATTAAGATGATGTTTAATTATTTCTTTTCTCTCTAGCACATGATAGGCACTCATGCATTATTAGTTGAATAAGAAGTAAGTAAATACATACACCCGTATGTACAGAGCCCGACGCGGGGCTCGAACTCGTGGACCACAAGATCATCTGTACGTATGTAGGCAAGAAACAGTTACTTATAGAATGGGTTTATTAGCCAGAGTGAAAGAACGTAAAGAGAAAATAGGAACAGAAACACACGTGAGAATTAAGTGAAAAGAAAACAGGTGAATGCCTATCAGTTTGGATACACCCAAGTCAACTCAAATGGACAATGGGTGCAGGGTAAAAACAATGATCCATCAATAATAAATCCGACGATCCCGTCCGTGAGAAATTAATTCCATGTTTGATGTATACATTACACTGAGGAGCAGTGAAGTCAATATTCATCCTCCTGATGATTGCCACTTCCTCTTTTTCGTGACAGATCAGCAAAAATCTGGTGCAAAGTTGGGACACCTGTGCTCTGAAAGGATTACGTCACCCAACGTGCGCTTCCTACCTTTAAAGTGAGGAATAAATCTTGTCTGAAAAATACTTTTCATTTTTAGCTCTTTTTTTTTTTCAGCTCTTTCCCAGAGGGCGGTCCTAGGAAAACAAAACCTAAAATCACGTTTGCATTTGCAGCCCTGGACTCTAGCGCATTGTAACACACCCCTCCTCCACCCACGCAGCCCACCCCTACAATTCCTAGGTCTCCAACACCCACCTGAGCAAGCTCAACCTTATTCAAATTGCTTTCCTGGGCAAAGAATGTAGTTAAGTTTGCCTTCTAGCTACCAGCCCCCTTCCCTTTGGTCTTTCTCTCCGGAGGCTCCGACCCTAGATACAATAAGACGCAGATGGGGGAGGGGTGACTTCAGCCAGGCTTTCATGCAAAGATCCCAGTCAGCAAAGAACAAAGCTTCTGGTACCTGCAGTTTAGAGAGCTGTGGGCAAAGTAAGGCGTCTGGCGGCCTTGACTGTACTCATTTACCAACTGTGCGAATTGAGAGGCAGGAAGTCAAGTTTTCCGCGTCTTTTTTTTTTTTTTTTTAACCTTCATTTATTTTTGAGACAAAGAGAGAGCATGAACGGGGGAGGGTCAAAGAGAGAGAGACACAGAATCTGAAACAGGCTCCAGGCTCTGAGCTGTCAGCACAGAGCCCGACGCGGGGCTCGAACTCGTGGACCACAAGATCACGACCTGAGCTGAAGTCGGAGGCTCAACCGACTGAGCCACCCAGGCGCCCCTTCCGCGTCTTAATTTACTTTTCTCCCGGTTTTATTGAGATGTAATTGACTTATGACATTGTATTAGTTTAAGGCGCACAGCATAATGAACTGATGTAGGATATGTTGCAAAATGATTACCACAATAAGTTTAGTACACATCCAACATTACATTCCCTTGATTAAAATAAATCATATTCTATGGGGCCACCTGGGTGGCTTAATCGGTTAAGCATCGGACTTCGGCTCAGGTCATGATCTCACAGTTCGTGAGTTTGAGCCACATTGGACTCTGTGCTGACAGCTCAGAGCCTGGAGCCTGCTTCGGATTCTGTGTCTCCCTCTCTCTCTGCCCGTCCCCACTCATGCTGTGTCTCTCAAAGATAAATAAAAAAACATTTTAAAAAGTATAAAAAAAATCATATTCTATTTGTAATGAGACAGAGACTGTCTGCCTGAGCACACTGTATTTCCACCCATCTTTTCCTTGATGTTCCTGTTTGTATTCTTTTCCCCTCCAGCAGGACGGTCTGAGAAGACAAAGAAAAGATTACATAGAATTTATCTCCATGCTTTGGTCCCAGCAGTACTCCTATGCTCACGAATTGGCATCCTCAAGTTATGAGCAAAACTCTCTTTGCATGGAAGCAAAGCCAGCAGCTCTAGGTGGAGACCCAAGTAGCAGAGAATGTGACAGGTGTAATCAGCTTGCAGCTCAGAAAAATATGTAATTGGAATTTGCTAAGGGTTTACTTTTAGGGGTGGGAGATTGGAAAAGAGGAAGAAATGTTAGGCTTCGCCAATATTAATGTTTTTAATGTCTATTTTTATTTTTGAGAGAGAGAGAGAGAGACCGTGCAAGTGGGGGAAGGGCGCAGAGAGAGGGAGACACAGAATCCGAAGCAGGCTCCAGGCTCCAAACTGTCAGCACAGAGCCTGACGCCGGGCTTGAATTCATGAACCTTGAGATCTTGACCTGAGCCAGTTGGAAGCTTAGCCAACTGAGCCACCCAGGTGCCTCAGGTTTCTTTAATATTGAATTCGGGAGTGGGGAGGAGAATTGAAAGCTGCAGACTGTTATCTTTGTCTATAAATATGTACTGCTAAAACCGAACCCTAAAAACTGCTCCTTTGGAAAATTGACTGAAAACAAAGAAAAAAAACCTGAAACCGGGGATGGAGTAAGATTGCAGGACATGACAGAATTGCCGGGCCAGGGAAGGAAAAGCTAATGTAAAAAAGAGCCAGAGAAGGAAAAAGAGGCCGACTTCGGCTCAGGTCATGATCTCCCCGTTCAGGAGTTCGAGCCCCGCGTCGGGCTCTGTGCTGATAGCTCAGAGCCTGGAGCCTGCTTTGGATTCTGTGTCTCCCTCTGTCTCTGCCCCTTCCCTACTCACGCTCTGTCTCTCTCTATATCGCAAAGATAAGTAAACGTTAAAAAAAAAAAAAAAAGAAGAGACGGGAGGTCCAACACAGATTCTAAAAGAAACTTGTCGCAAATGTGTTGGCAAATCCATTCACAGGAATATCATTTGCTGGAGGATGTTCTTCTCTACCTTCCTCTTTTCAGTTGGGTTGGTTTACAGATCAATAAATTTCATTATTTTAGATCTAGGAACGTCCCAGATGAAATAAGGAAGGACTGTTCTCAATCTATCATGTTGTTCGCTGCATGAAAATAATAAACACAACAAAAAGGTAATTTCTTTTTTTTTTTAATTTTTTTTTTCAACGTTTATTTATTTTTGGGACAGAGAGAGACAGAGCATGAACGGGGGAGGGGCAGAGAGAGAGGGAGACACAGAATCGGAAACAGGCTCCAGGCTCTGAGCCATCAGCCCAGAGCCCGACGTGGGGCTCGAACTCACGGATCGCGAGATCGTGACCTGGCTGAAGTCGGACGCTTAACCGACTGCGCCACCCAGGCGCCCCACAAAAAGGTAATTTCAAACTTGGAGCTCATGAGCATAGGATAAAGACAGAATTCCTATTAATAGCCCCCATTTGTAGATCGCTGAGTGTCCAATATTATGAGGATTTAGCACTTTATTTCCTCTAATTTTTATAGCAACACAGACAAGGTACAGATGAGGAAACCGAGTCAAGATTCTATCCAGCCACGCATGTCTAAAAACTACTGAAAATTTTTCCATACTGGTGGCGAATGCATTAATTACCTACGAGGCACCAAAGTCAGCTACAGATCAGCAGGCCACAGGTCCCCTCCTCTGGCTTTTGTTAAAGGAGACAACAGTCCTGGGGCAAAGACAAGCCTGTCTCTCGACAGCTAAAAAACAAGAGGAGGGAGTTGAAAACAAGTACTATTTTTAACATCCACTGACGCCTTAGCAACATACAATGTGCGTCTTATTGTGACCTTTGGGGGACTCAGGAGGAAAATAGAGCTATGTGGTTGGAGCTTCTGCCATAACCAACTCGATGTTGAGACCCTACGGGGCCTTAGATCAAGATATTAACTGCCCGAGTGGAAGATTCAATCGTCTGAGGTGCCTCAAGTGCATCTTTGATTTTAAAAGACGCAAACGTGGTGAACCCAGAAATATTTAATTGCCGGGTTTACTTTTGCTCCTAGGTCCCGTGGCCCCAGTTTACCCATTCCCCACCCAGTCTGGACTACCCGGCAGCTACCTTTTGCATGACAATGGCCTTGGTGAGACTGGCAGACAGGATTAACCGAGAATTCTCGAGGGTGTGTGTGGGCGTGGGGCTGTCGGGAGGGGCGGGTCTAAGGATGGGCGAGCTTTCCTTATAAATCCAGAGCCTCCAGAATCTTCACCTTTTGCTAAATTGGGTTGGTTGGTGCTTGGCCCTTTCGGTGGTGACGCCACTGCATCCTGTCTTTCTGATACTCTTACATCTGGAGATCTTCAGATTTCTCTTTTAAGTTCTTCCACCTAGACACGTAAGCCTGCATCTCCCTCTTTTTTTTTCTCTCTTCCCTCCACTCGGCAACATGAATACGGATCCAGCTCAGCCCCAATGCCCGCCTTGCCCCGAAGCGCCCGATTCTAGGGACTCTTCTCCAGTGCCTGAGATTGATGGGCCTGAAGAAAATTATGCACCCTTGCAAATGTCATCTGCTGAGACCCCCCACACGGAGACCGGTAAGAGAAAATTAATCCTTGAAAGGCTGATTACCTTGAGGGAGAGTGAAATCTGAGGAGGGGAAGGGTCATTCGTTTTGCTCTTGAGCAATTACAGCCCATTCATGAAAGCAGCTGTCCTCTATTAAGCCTCTCGACACCTGTCCCAGTTGTAACTTGGTGGGTGCGTGCCCTTTCACCCAGGTCCCAGGTGTCAGGTAAGCGACAAGGGCCGCAGGACGCTGGCATTTCAATGGCTCCCTGGATAATTGAGGCATTAGGTGCATAGGCCCTGTGGAAACACAAATGTGTTGTGAAAAATGAGTTGATATATACATCTTAACAGACTGGGTGCTGAGCACATAGTAACAGTAAATGTTACTATTAAGTCAGAAGTGCTAACATCACAGCTAGGGGTAGGGGATGCCGTGAGCATCACCGTTTTGATTTGCCGGGTTTTCAAGGAGTTCCAGAAATGGCGTGGCTAATTATGAATCGCGCCTTGTTGAAAAGTTCCACCTTCGTACAACAGCGGCAGTGCCTCTCCTGCCTCTTTGGCTCCGTGGGTGTTAACTGGGGCAGCTCCGAATTTCTGAGAGCCTGCTATGCTCAGGTCCCCTACATCCTGAGGAAATGTCCACCCCATTTTATGGTAGAAGATCCCAGAAGGTTTAACCTGCTGACATTCAGGGGCGAGAGCCCAAATTTGAAACCCAGGTTGGCTTCCACATGGTAATCGCAGGGGTGGGGGATGATCAGTTTGCTGTGAAGTCCGCACCGCTTTTTTGTGAATCAATTCGGCAGTAATTGTTAAAAATGAAAACGTAAACGAATGTTTACCCGAGAAAAACCACTTTTAAGATTCATGGTAAAAATAATCGTTTAAACATTGTTTACATGATTACCCCTAAAACCAAGCTGTTGGAGAAGGACTAAGAAACTGCTTTATTGGATTGTTGGATTTTAATGTTCCCCGGTTTTCCTAAACTTCATGTCGATGCCCTTTTATAATTCCGAACATTGAAAATACAGCGCTGGATTGTGAGAAATGGCTCGGGAATGAGCAAGTGGGCGTGTCCTCAGCAAGCCAAGTGCAAGTTTATAGAGACCGGTTTTTTTAGGAGATGCCCCCACTGAAGTCCTTGGTCTCGCCCACTTACAAGAAGCACAAGATTGTGAATTTTTGCCTCGTAAAGGCTGTCTCTTTATTCCATGACTAGGGTAGACATTAAAGAGTTTAAACGGCTACTGAATCTAGGCAATATAATATTTTTTAGTTTTTTTTGGAGGGGAGGAATCACGCACGTGAGCGGGGGGGGGGGGGGGGGCAGACAGAGATGGAGACAAATGGTCCAAAGCGGACTCTGCTGACCGCAGAGAGCCCAATGCGGGCCTGTCGAACCCACCAACCTGGAGATCAGGACCGGAGCTGAAGTCAGACACTTAACCGACTTGAGCCACCCAGGCGCCCCTAAACTGTGGATTTTAAAGGGTCCCCAGAAACTGATCCTACAGTATTAAATATGATGTAGGGGATGATCAACTTTACAAAACGAAGTTAGGAAGGGACATGATAGGGGCGGTGGGGGGAGGGGACTCCAGTGATCATTCCCACTTTTCTGAACAGTCACAGCATGGACTCTTGAGCATCGATTTGCAGTAGAAAGCTTTTGTCAACGAGGTTTGAGGAGCACCTGGCTGGCTCGGTCAGTGGAGCATGTGACTCTTGATCTCAAGGTTGTGAGTTCGAGCCCCATGTTGGCCATAGGGATTACTTAAAAATAAAATCTTGGGCCACCTGGGTGGCTGAGTTGGTTAAGTGTCCCATTTCGGCTCAGTTCCTGAATTGCCCCCCCCCCCCCCCCCCCCCCGCGTGTTGGGCTCCCGCAGAGCCCACTTGGGATCCTTGTCCTCTTTTTCTGCTCCTCCCCCGCTCTTTCTCTCCCAAATGCGCATGCTCTGCTCTGTCAAAAATAAACAAACATTAAAAAGTAAAGTCTTTAAAAAAAAAAAAAGTTGAGTCCCACTCTGCTTCCCAACTAGTAAGCCATTGGCCATGTCCCTTGGTTGTAAGATGGCAGGGACTAGTAGGTTATTGGATTGGCATCCTACAAAGATCAGCGAAGTGTTCGGGGGTCACTCATTTCTTGAGTTGAAAATGACCACCATTATCACCTCTAAGTTTTTACCTACTACCTGAGGTTGAGGGCTCTCAAAAAATGCTTTGACAACCACAGGTTTGCGAATGTAATTTGCTCTTTGAAAGGTTTTAGAGAAAAGTGTTGTTTTATTCCCAACAGTCTCTCCTCTTCCTTCCTGCATGGATCTACTTGTTCAGGACAGCCCCGATTCTTCTACCAGCCCCAGAGTAAAAGTGCTGCCCACTTCTGCAGAGGAGATCACCGCGAAGAAGGACGATCCAGCTCAGGGCAAGAAACAGAAGATCAGAACCGTCTTCTCTCAGACCCAGCTATATGTACTCAATGATAGATTTCAGAGACAGAAATACCTCAGTCTCCAGCAGATGCAAGAACTTTCCAACATTCTGAACCTTAGCTATAAGCAGGTAGAGTTTGCCTACTTGTCCTTGCAGCGCGAAATAAAAAACCCAATTTGCAGATGAGCATTTCCTAACATCTGTGTGTGCATCTGTAGGCTTAGGTACAGCCTACAGATAATTTTCATATGAGAGTAGGATCTTTGCAATGTTTCATGACCATTTTTTTTTTTATTTTTTTTTTTAACGTTTATTTATTTTTGAGACAGAGAGAGACAGAGCATGAACGGGGGAGGGTCAGAGAGAGAGGGAGACACAGAATCGGAAACAGGCTCCAGGTTCTGAGCTGTCAGCACAGAGCCCGACGCGGGGCTCGAATCGTGAGATCTCCCAAATCGTGAGATCATGACCTGAGCCGAAGTCCCCGCTCAGCCGACTGAGCCACCCAGGCGCCCCCCGTGACCATTTTTTTAACGTTGTAATGTGTTAATATGCCATGGTTTATTTAACCACTCTTCCCTGTTGCACAAGCCAAAATCGTGAAAATGTTGCCGATTTTTCCTTAATCAAAGGAGATGCATGTATTCCCATCTTCCAGGTTAGGAGAGTCCCTAACCAACACTGCTCCTCATTAAAATAAAACTGGAATCTCTTGTTTGTGTGCATTTCATTACTAGCAAGGTTAATCATTTTCCATATTCTTGCATATTTTGCAGTCAGACAGATATTGTATGGTTTTCTGTCACTGGTGCCATACTTAGTCTAAGTATATAAGTACTTCTGGTCCTCCTTAATGTCATTTTCTACCTTATACTTTACAAATCACCTGGAAATTTAAGCTTCTTGGATGCTTAAATAGATTTGATATTTTCCAAATAGTTGTCCTTGTGGTATATTTCATATTTCTTGAGTTGAAATGGCCACCATTATCACGTTAAATGGAAGTGTGCTTATGGGGGAGCCTTTATTGCAGACAAAGTACCTTTAGCTGACTACTGGCGTGGGTAAACTACGAAAAGGGAGATAGGTAGACATTTAATGTGAACGTTCTAGAATAGATAGGCAGTGGTTTTTCTCAAACTGGTTCGGTTTATTAAAAAGCAGCCAACTGACTTCAGGGGCTGTGACATTCATTCATAGAGAATGGTGTCAAGATTTCAGAAAGGACTCTAGAAGTTTGTTTTCTGAGCTTTAAATAGTTGTAGTTGCGGACGGGGTGGGGGGTGGGGAGGGGAATTGTTAACAATATTCTTTGATCCCTACTACATCCACATTACTGGTGTTTTATGTTTTCCTGTTTTCCTGTCACCTTTTTCTTTGTAGGTTAAGACCTGGTTCCAGAACCAGAGAATGAAATGTAAGAGGTGGCAAAAAAACAACTGGCCAAAGAATAACAACACTGTGTCTCAGGTAACAGGAAACGTATTTTCCTCCTCTTTTTTTTTTCAAGTAGGCTCCATGCCCAGCGTGGGGCTTGAACTCACGACCCTGAGATCAAGAGTAGCATGCTCTACTGACTGAGCCAGCCAGGCATGCCTCTGCTTTCTTTTCCATGGCTTTTTCGTTTTGGTCCTTGCTAACTCGTTAGAACCCCGGCTGCAGACCATCCTGATTTTCTTTCTAGCCTTTCCGTTGATCTACCATTCTCTTTCAGAACAGCTCTGCAAATCCAGAATACCCAGGCTTCTATTCCTATCACCAGGGATACCTGATGAACACTTCCGGAAACCTTCCAATTTGGGGCAACCAGACCTGGAACAGCCAGTCGTGGAGCAACCAGACCTGGAACAGCCAGTCGTGGAGCAACCAGACCTGGAACAGCCAGTCATGGAGCAACCAGACCTGGAACAGTCAGACCTGGTGCCCCCAAGCCTGGAATGGCCAGGCCTGGAACAGTCAGCTGCACAACTGTGGAGAGGAATCCCCGCAGCCCCAGATACAGTTACAGCAAAATTCTGTCAGCGATTTGCAGTCCATCTTAGAAACGACTGGGGAAAGCCACAGTGTGATACAGCAAACGGCTAAGTATTTTAGTGCCCAGCAAATAATGGATTTATTCCCAAACTACCCTGAACCTACAGCCTGAAGTCGCGTGACCATGAGCGTATTAATCCGCCTCCATTTGGGCGATGGCTGTATTACTTCTAGGATTTGTCTGTTAGGGTCCTGTATCTCCGCCTTGATATTCTGCTTTTCATTATGTTTATTCTGTCCATCAAGGGGGAACGGTATCTTTAGGCTCCAGAATTTAACCACAAGAATAGGAAATAAAAATACAAAGATGTGATGAAGGATTATTTGTATTTTCTGAGATAGTGAGGCTTAACAACCTCAATTGTTAACGGTGGAGGGTTAAGTTATAATGTGGGTCGTTGATTTCCTCTGCCCCCTGTGCTGGTTTAACTACAACTCCCGACGTGGTCGTTATTCCAGTATTTGTAGAAAGCTGTTTTTATATTTTAATGTGTCGTGATGATAGGACCAGTCTGGCTGGTGGTTTATGATAGATTTAAGTACAAATAAATACCCACTTTATCTTTTAGTTGTCTCTACCCTGATTTCACCAGTAGCTCAGTGACTAAAAAACTTGGCTAAACACGGGTCTTTCTTAGAGTCTTTTGCTGTGGGAAGGACCAATGAACTGAAATCTCTTTAAGATTTCTGCTAAGAGGCTGCTCTTAGAAAGGGACAAAAGTAAAGTAAAGGGACAAAAGTAAGGAAAAGGTAGCTAAGTATACAAAGCTAGGTGACTGGTTAATTAAATCTCAACGAACTTTTTTCCTCCTTGTGTGTGTAATAGTATTGAAACAATAAAATTTGTGGTTATTGGGAGTTAAAGAAGAGTGCCCCATCTGGAAGATCAGAAGCAGAAAAGTGATAAACAGAGCTCTTAGGTTTGTAAAGAGGCTTAAATAAAGGGCAGCCAGGGAATAGGTAATAATGGAAGGTAGAGAAGACTGGAGAAGGAGGGGAAAAGGTCAACCAATTGGAATCTCACCCTGTAACACACACCAGGGATGTGTCCACTCTTCTCTACAATTGTACTGTGCCAGAAGGCACTGTGTGGAAATAAGCTTCTTTTAAGACATTTTAATGCCAGCTTTTATTTAAAAAGGGACTTGTTGAGTTTATAGACCAACTACAAAGCACAATATCAATGTTTTAGAACGTCCAACTCTTGGTTTTGGCTCAGGTCCAGACCTCTCCGGTTTCTGAGTTCGGGCCCCGCGTTGGGCTTCCTGCTGGCGGTGCAGAGCCTGCTTGGGATGCTCCTCTCTTTCTGCCCCTCCCCTTTCTCTCTCTCTTAAGATAATCTTTTAAAAAATAAAGTATAGGAGCGCCCAGGTGGCTCAGTCGGTTGAGCGTCCGACTTCAGCTCAGGTCATGATCTCGCAGCTCGTGAGTTCGAGCCCCGCGTCGGGCTCTGTGCTGACAGCTCAGAGCCTGGAGCCTGTTTCCGATTCTGTGTCTCCCTCTCTCTCTGCCCCTCCCCCGTTCATGCTCTGTCTCTCTCTGTCCCCAAAATAAATAAAAACGTTGAAAAAAAAATTTAAATTCTGAGGCTAGTTGGGAATACTTTTTTCCCCAGGTAAATTATGTTTTCCCCTTAGAAGAAGCAAAGCAGGCATCTATGAACTATACTAATATTTCTTTTTACTATCTTTTTCCATCCCAGTTCACCCCGAATTGATCTGAATCAGAGCACTTTTAATCCCCACTGCCTTCTTGCTCCATGGCAACATCTACTTTCTGAAGCAGACACAGAGAATGGTCCACTAAGGCAGTTGTCCTGGTCATTTCCCTCATGGTTTCCCCAATTTTCCAATGTTGCTGTGGGACCATCCAAATTCTCTAGACATTTGACAAATGACATCAGGGGTAATTTCTGCCTAATACCTAGGTACAACACAATATTCTTTTAAAAGTTGTCAGATAGTTGAATTTTGTGCCAAGCACTATGTTATGAGCTGAGTAAATCATGAAAACAAAGCATTGATTGAACCATTAAAATAGTACATGAAATCTCTAAATCCCTATTATTTTCATTTTGTTATTGAAGCACAGATTTGAGTATGACTTTTTTTTTTCTTAATGTTTACTTTTGAGAGAGCACAAGTTGGGGAAGTGGCAGAAAGAGGCAGATAGGATCTGAAGCAGGTTTTGTGCCCACAGTGGAGAGCCCAATGGGGTGCTTGAACTCACAAACTGAGATCCTGACCTGAGCCAAACTGAGCCACCTAGATGCCCCCAGACCCCCCCCCCACCACCCAGTATGACTTTTTACAAATGTGATTTCACTGTTCTGCCACCTGGCCTTTTCATTTAAGTGTATTGAGTGAAGGAAAAATTATTTTTTTAAGAGATTAGAGCGTTTTAAGATATGTCACTAGGGAGCCTGGCTGGCTCAGTGGAGGGGATAACCCTTGACTCAGGTTCCCGAGTTCAAACCACGTTGGGTGTAGGGCTTACTTTAAAAACAAAAGGGAGGCACCTAGGTGGCTCCGTTAAGGATTGGACTTTGGCTCAGGTCATGATCTCCCAGTCGGTGAGTTTGAGCCCGGCATTTGGCTCTCTGCTGTCAGCTTGGAGCCTGCTTCGGATACTCCGTCCCCTCTCTCTCTCTCTCTCTCTCTCTCTCTCTCTCTCTCTCTCTGCCCCTCCCCCCATTGTCTCTCTTTCTCAAAAATAAAGTAAGTCTTAAAAAAAGGTAATATGTCACTAACATTTTTATGAAATCCTTTGCTCTAAAACTAGATGCAGGGGCGCCTTGGGTGGCTCGGTCGGTTAAGCGCCTAAGGCTCAGGTCATGATTTCACGGTCCGCGAGTTCGAGCCCCGCGTCGGGCTCTGGGCGGGCGGCTCAGAGCCTGGAGCCTGTTTCCGATGCTGTGTCTCCCTCTTTCTCTAGCCCCTCCCCCGTTCATGCTCTGTCTCTGTCCCCAAAATAAATAAACGTTGAAAAAAAAAATGTTTAAAAAAAACCCAAAACTAAATGCACATAACGATTGTCAACACATATGAGGAAGAACCTAGGACCTTGGGAAAATAGCTAGTATAAAGCGATAGTCTTTTTTTCTTTTTTTTTTTTTTTTTAATTTTTTAAAATTTTATTTTTGGGGAGAGACAGCACAAGTGGGGGAGGGGCGGAAACAGAAGGAGACAGAATCCAAAGCAGGCTCCAAACCCTGGAGCTGTCAGCACAGAGCTCAGGGCTCAGGCTCCCCAGACTGCAAGATGACCTGAGCCAAAGCCGGACACTCAACCAACTGAGGCCACCCAGGCCCCGCCAAGTCTTCAGGAACTCCAGTTAGCCCTCTAGTACTGAACCTTGTCACGTAACATGTTTTTACACTCTTGATCCTGCTTGTTTCTGCTTTGGACTAAGTTCGGCTATAAAACATTGGGAATAGGCAAGGGAATGGCTAAGAATTAAAGATTTCGAGTGGCAGAACACCTGTTACATTTAAAACATGGTTCTGGAAGTGAAAAGAAGGGGAAAAGGATTGAAAGAAAAGAAGGAACAAGGAATTTCTGGTGTTTAGCGTTTTCTTTTGGAGATTAGCCATTTTGGAAATGCCAGTCACCTGTGTCTTCAAACAGGCACCTGTCAGGGTAAAGACAAAACACCTCAGGGAACCCCACTATCATCAGGGAACCAGAGTCTGGGTTTATTTTTTTTAAGAGATTGGGCCTCTCCCCACCCTCCCCACCCCAGTACAGAAAGGTGTTTTCATCAAAGCACAGGGTGCCTACAGGCAGAAAGAAGCTGCCTGGACCTTTTTGACTGCAAAACTAAAACGTGCTATGGAGAACAAATTTAAACAATAAAGAAATGAACAATAAATCAAATCTAGTAAGTACAGTTTAATTTCTACAGGTATTTTAGTATATGCCATATGGATGGTCTTTTTTATTTATTTATTTATTTTTTAACATTTATTTATTTTTGAGACAGAGAGAGAGCATGAACAGGGGAGGGTCAGAGAAAGAGGGAGACACAGAATCTGAAACAGGCTCCAGGCTCTGAGCTGTCAGCACAGAGCCGGACGCGGGGCTCGAACGCACGGACCGTGAGATCATGACCTGAGCTGAAGTCAGACGCTTAACGACTGAGCCACCCAGGCGCCCCTGGATGGTCTTTTTTATAAATGTTTTCATTTTTGAGAGAGTGTGCACATGCACGCACGGGAGAGGGGGAGGGGCAGAGAGAGGCTCCAAAGCCGCCGCTGCACTGACAGCAGAGAGCCCGAGGCAGGACTAGAACTCACAATCTGTGAGATCGGGACCTGAGCCAAAGTCAGATGCTTAGCCAACTGAGCCACCCAGGCACCCCCTGGGTGATTTTACGCGAATTTTTTATATATATTGTAACAGGATCATACCATACATTCTATTCTGAGAGGTTTTTTGTGTTTTTTTGCTCCACTTAGCATTCTATCTTCAATCTCTTTGCATGTCAGAATTTAGAGCTATATATCTATTTGGAAGAATCCTAAAAATTGATAATTACATTATTTAAAATTTATTTATTTAAGTAATTTTTACACGCAAGGTGGGGCTCCAAACTCAACGACCCAAAATCGAGTCGCATGTTCTTTCAACTGAGCCAGCCAACCACTCCTATAGTTGCATTCTTAAAAAAAGATTTCCTAGGGGCGCCTGGGTGGCGCAGTCGGTTAAGCGTCCGACTTCAGCCAGGTCACGATCTCGCGGTCCGTGAGTTCGAGCCCCATGTCAGGCTCTGGGCTGATGGCTCAGAGCCTGGAGCCTGTTTCCGATTCTGTGTCTCCCTCTCTCTCTGCCCCTCCCCCGTTCGTGCTCTGTCTCTCTCTGTCCCAAAAATAAATAAACGTTGAAAAAAAAATTAAAAAAAAAAAAAAGATTTCCTATTTTCCTGAAATGTATCAGCCGGGGTCGAGATGGTCTCCTTCTTGAATATTCTCTTTAACAACATTTCTGACGGGAAGAACATCAGGGTGAAGTTCAGGTCATTGAACTACAGGGAAATATTAAGTTTGGGGGCTCGTTCTTACATCTCAGTGTGACTTTGTCATTCCCTTAAAAAAAACAAAAGCTATTTGTACAATAT